AACTCTGATTATCTGTTATCTGTTATGCTTTATGTAAGAGACAACTACTGTAGGATGATCAAGGTGGATGGACTCAGTTACAATGATAATTGTACACAATTAGAAGACCTGAAGACCAGATTAGAAGAAAATCTAGTAATGTGGTCACTAAGAGTCATCACAGACTTGATGGCACTTTTATCTACCTACCTACCTAGCATGTCTTTTATTATTTCCAATCAATAGTAGACTAAAGGAATGGGGGGAAGGGGGGAATTAAAAGTAATTAAGAATAGCATTATCACCTATTCTGTTCAAATCACATACATACACTATTAAAGTATAAGAACCAAACCCTAATATTCCTTTTGCAGGCACACAACATTTATGCTATATTCATACAGATCCTCTTATTTCTTTTGATTTTCTTGCTTGCTTTGGGACAATTCGTTTCTGCTTTGATGAATCAATTTGGTTCTGAAGTCATTGTATTTTCAGTAAACTGGTATCTCCAATCTTCCCTTCAGGCATGGTTTTTCTGTGCATAACGTAGTTGTTCATACTTCTTATTTAAGAATTGCAGTTTCTATTTTAAGGCCTTCAATCAGTATTAAAAAGATTCAAAATACATTCCCTTTTAACCTATGTATGAAAAACTCTAAAGAAGGGAAAAGTGACAGCCTTCATGAAAAGCTCTTGAACTAGTCACAACTGTTACTGGTGATAGGAATTTCCCTGGAAATTCAAAATCTTTTAAGTATCAAACACATCATTCTGACAATTAGATATGTCTGACTGCAACATTATGTACATTGAAGCTAATTAATCTCTAGTAACTTTCTGTTTTGTGGCTTGATGACATTTTGTGCCGTCATCATTTTTATGGCTAAGGATACTTAAATTAATGATAATTTTGTGGACATTTGTTGTATTTTACAGAGAGAGATTAATCTTGATTTTCAAGAAAAACAGAAATAATCGTGCCTTTGCATGTAATAAATTGAGAATACATCTTAGTAGTACGGTAAACACATTATGAAAATCCAGAGCAAGTCCTGACATTTTTTTCCCCCTATACATCATTTATGGCAAAGTAGCAGGCAGCAGCCCAGCTGTAATCCTTTGAGGAAAATGATTAAACACAGTTAAGTTTGGCTCTAAGTAAATATACATTTGACTTGGCTGTATCCTTTACACAAGATTAAATCTACTGCATGGAAGTGATGCCTACATCAGAATTTAATGTTAGGAATAGCAACCCTTAGCAATGTAAACGAGATGAAATGTGGTGAAATATGGGTCCATTGGGTTTGCATCACATTGTATTGCTTTCTGATGTCCATTGGCATTGCAGTAATTGCCAGATATTGATAGCCAGATTTTAAGAAATATACTTTCATCAAGCTATATTTAAGATTCAAATCCACTGTGATTCTCAGCCATAGAAAGTCAGTGTATGACACTGAGATAGTCACTTTCTGTCAGCCCAGCTACCGCCACAAGTTTGTTATTACTGGGGTAAAAATGAATCTTCTCATAAGAGCCACATTGAGCTAGAGGGACTTTAAGATACAAATAAATACATGAAAATCATTCTTAAAAAACACATTGGCAAAATAATACTGTTCAAATTCTGGCCTCTGTGAATAAAGGCCAATATACATGTCCCAGGATAATGTTGCAGGATCCAATCTAAGTCAGTCACTGGGACCAAATGTTCTTTAAGAGCACAAAACACTGTCAAACTCAAAAGCTTATTTAAAAAGCTCAAAAGCTCTTAAGCTCATTTTTGGCTTGTGAAAAATTAATTGGAAAAATTAATTAGTGCTGCAAAAGGCCAGTTACTCCTGTTCCTTGTAGTCCATTAAGTCTCCTCCAGTTAAAATTACTTCAATCTTTTTTCCATCATTCATTTCCTGGGAAAGATGTACTATAAACTCTAAAATAGTTTTTATTTTTAAAGCTATCATTTTCACGTTCTACCACTATTGGAGGAAAAAAATGACTTGATACTACCTATGTCATGTTATCATCCCAAACCCATAAGTTTATTTTACTTATCTCCTTTTAAGCTAGTATATAGTAATTTGTTTAATCACCTAGTAAATGTAATTAGTAACTCAATTTCTCTGTAAATGTACTGTATACAATAATTTAGAATGTTATCTTAAGTTTGGACTGTATATTATGCTATAAGTAACTGCAATGTATTATTGTTTGAACAGTTGCTTTATTCTATATCTATTGTGCTCATAGCTGTAAGTATATAATAAAGCTACTACTATTTCTAATAGTGTTATCACAGATTCTGACTGAAGTAGTGAAGCAAATGTTTTAAAGAACAGAGATCCCCAACCTCTGGGCTGTGGAAACGGCTTGCGAGTACGTGCACGCTCCATTTGTGTGAGCGGTAGGAGCACGTGCATGCCACTCATGCACATAGAGCAGCATGCACGCGCACATACTACTAGCGCTAAACCATCCTCTCTCTCCCCCCCTTGGTCCACAAAGCCGGAAATGTTGGGGAACTCTGTTCAAGAAGACAGTTATCAGAAATATATTTTCACATTACAGGTTTGATACCACTTGTACTGTATATTGATTTAAAGCTTTTTCCAGATGAACCTATTAACTTTTCTTTTTTAGATTTAGCAGATTAAAGTGAGACTTGGTAAGCTTTTGATTTGTCATGGGTTCTTCAATTTGGCCTTTCCAATTTAATCTTCCTTTCTACCACAGCTTAGTTGCTCGCTTGCAATTAAAATCCCTTTAGAGCTTAGTCCCTTTTAACCGGTATGTTAATAGGCAAATCCTGATGACCTATTTTCCATGGTTTCTTCAAAATATGTCTGATCCTTTGGGTTGGCTGGTTTCTCCACTGCTGGCTTGTTTGTTTGTTTCATATAATCTATCAAAAATTAAGTTCCCCATTAATCAAAGAGACATCTCTAAAATAAGCTGTAGATTTTTTCATATATGTTTGTTAGGGCAGAACTCACTGGCAAGTAAGGAAAGAAGCATATTAACAGATGCCTAGAAACTCATGGTTAGGTGGAGCTCTGTGAAACCAGAACAAGATTGGAAGTGTTCAATGAATTGTGAGCCATAGTAAGTATGTAACAAACGAAGTGTTTTATTGCTAGACAAGTTAATCTGTTAGTTCTTTTCTACAACTTTTGTTTCAATTAGTAGAAGTATGGAAATTTCAAATAATTAGTGAAATATTTAATGAGTTTTTAATCATCAAATAAATATTTTAAATTAAAGTTCCTTAAAATAATAGAGGTCTATCAAGACAATTATTCATCTGGCATCATGAGGTTATATAATCACAATCCATTCATCACATGAGGTATGCAAAAAACCACCCCACATCTTTTGATATTGTTCAAAATATATTTCTTCAGATGCAACCAACTCTGTGGAACAATCTCCTACAGAGCTGTAATGCAACTTTCTATTGTATAAAATTAAGCTTTATTATAGATGGGTGAATCACGTTCTCTAACCAGTTCCATGATCCCTCAGATCTAGAGTCTAGACAATAAAAGACAGAGATTTTAAACATTTTAAAAAGAGTACTTAATTAACATTCCATTTTCATCTTTTTCCAGATCTTTGAAGTATTATTTTACAATATGGCCGGAGCAGATGGGATTAAGAAGTTACATTCCCCCACCCAAATTCTAAGGACAGGACATGACCTTTAGGACACAATAGGATTAACCCACCACCATTGAAATAGTAAAAGATACAAGGCTCTCTACATTGCACAACCCCCTGGAGCATCTCAATCACCAAACCCCAGAATCTTATAAAAATCCATCCACTCACTCAGCCATTTTGTCAACCTCCCCAGAAACATGCTACTGTCAAGGAAGCTTCTAGAAACTAAATAAACAGAGACCTACTTTCCTTGTAAGCCACCCTCCATTTTATTTCCAGCATTTTTCTCTCGTCTTTGGAACCGGACTGGATTTTTCTTCCAACACTTACAATTAAAATCCAGAAGTGCTTTGCTCTGCTGACTCAAGCCAATGGGAGTTACAGTCTATCACAGCTGGAGAACGATCACCCAAAGATTTTTCGTTTATTTATTTATTTTGACATCACCATTGTTAGAAATCAATTCTGGTTTCATTTACCTGAGAAACCCACAGAGCATAGTAAGATTAGTTTCTGAGCAAACAAGGATAATAATGATTTTGAAATACCCGGCTTTGTTTTTGTTTTGCAACAGACTAACCCAGCTTTCCAGATCTTCTATATCTGCCTAGACTTGTTTAAGTTAAGCTTGCCAAATATTTCGCGGAAGAATGTGGTAATAATTACTTTCTACTCCGTTTCCCCCTCCACGTAGAAAAGCCTCCCCGCCCCCACCTCGCCCTTTCTCAAGTTTAAACGGATCTAGCAAGGTAATTAAGAAAACACAAGCTAAAAGTGCAAAAGGAGCGATTGAGAATCAGTGTCTTCTCGTGACTTCTTCCAGCAAGCAGGGCAAAACAACAACAACCCAGAAAAGAAATAAAAAACAACCGGACGCCGCTCGTGGGAGCGAATGAATGAAGGCGACCCGGTCCAACCGCGAGAAGGAAGAAATAAAAAACAACCGGACGCCGCTCGTGGGAGCGAATGAATGAAGGCGACCCGGTCCAACCGCGAGAAGGAAAAAATAAAAAACAACCGGACGCCGCTCGTGGGAGCGAATGAATGAAGGCGACCCGGTCCAAACGGGAGAAGGGCGTGGCCTGGATCCGCGTCCGTGCTTGGAACTTCGCCGCAGCGAACGGGAGAGCCGCTTGGCGTCGAGGGTCAGAAAACAGGAAGTGGGCGGAGCCAATCGTTATGACGTCTCTGGTGGGGCAGGGCTACTTCAGTTCGACAACTGGGCGGCGAGAGGAGGGTTTCTGGGCACGCGGCGGGTGCGGGCCAAAGGGGGCGGAGTCTGCTCCTTCCCCCGCCCGCCTTCGTTCCTGGCTTCGGGCCCTCCCCCTCCTTAAAGCGCGGCCCATCCTCCCGCGAGCCGCATTAGTAGCGGCGCTTCGGGTGTCAGGCGGCGCTGTTGGGCGGAGAAGCTGCGCGCTCGGGCTACCCCGTTTTTTGTCTCTTCCCCCCCCTCGCCCTGCCCGCCTCGGCTGGCCCTGTGGCTGGAGGCGGTTGAGCTGGGGCTCCCAGCCCGTTTCTCCTGCTCGCCGCTCTGGTCCCCACCGAGTCTCTGGCTTGAGGGCGGCACCGCCACCACCACCTCAGCCTCGAGATGTTTGACAAGACGCGGCTGCCTTATGTGGTGCTGGACGTGGTCTGTGTGGTCCTAGGTATGCCTCGGGTTCCGCAGCGTGGGGATGTGGGGAGGAAGGGGAGGCGCCTGGGCACCTCAGGCAGGCGATGCGCCACCGCTGCGCACTTGTCGGTTTACCCACCCGACGCGCCCCTGTGGTGGCTGCGGGGGCTTCCCTGGCTGACTCTTGAGGCAATTCCTCTGCTTCCTCTCTGGGCGGGGGTTTTATCTCCCACACTCTTATTATATATGCCTCTACGTACCTATGCAGCGAATGTGCATCTGGGGTAGCTTGCTTCCCCTGCATGTTGACAGGCTAGTCTTTGCCCTGCATCTCTGGCTTTGCTGAAGAAAGCTTGGGGGAAGGGTTTGAAAAAGAGTTAATAAATGCAACATTTTTTTCATTTTTAGGTTTGTCTGCTTCTGCTGTTGTCGCTGCTTTCTTTGCGTTCATCTGCTTGCTTACTGGCTAGCTTTGCACCAACCCCCATCTCTCTCCTAGATAAACTTGGTCACTGGAATTCTGCTTAAATCAGGGTTTTATTCAAGTTGGCTAATATAACACATGGCTTGAATGAGTGGTGTACAAAGAAAGAGTTGGAAAAAAAAACACAATCCCCTTGATGGGCTGGTAGATGGAAAAATCACAGCTGCATTTTGTGCTGGCTTCTTCAACCTGGTGCCCTCCAGGTGTATTGAGATCCACATCAAGCATCAGGTGAAGTCAATTGCATTTGGTGGGTATCAGACGGGGAAGATTGATGTACATTTAGAAAACTGAGTTTAGAAAGAAAGCAGTTTATTTCCTCTCATATGAACATGCCTTTATGTAAAGGGATAAATCATTGATGAAGTTGCATACTGATGTCCTACAATACAGCCTTTAATGGATTTTTTTATAGGTGACTCTAGCTGCTTTTAGGATTAGGATTACAAAATATATATACTGTACCAATATTTATTTGCTGACAGTTCTTTTTCATTTTTGCAATATGAAGAATGATCATAGTAATTAAGTATAAGCTTAACTTTGTCTAGCCTTAAACATTGTTACTGCAAAGCATCTAGTTTTAGATTGACATTTTCTTGAGTGAATGTAATAGTGAACTATTAGTTTTGGTTGTTGCTAAATATATGTGTTACTTTAGGTAAGAGCAGTGTAGTGATGGTAGCCCACCATCCTCTGTTAGACTCTTTTTAAATCTATTAGATGAGACCTTGATGGAGATTTATTTCATTTATGCCATTTCAAATCCATTAAATATAAGATAATTGGATTTTGGACCAATCAAATAATTGCTTTAGAGTAACTGAAAATTTGCTTCTGTAGAAAGAATGAGAAAGCCTCATGCCATATAAGTTTAGCAAAGAATGAATGTTTCTATGAAATCTATTTAAATATAGGATAACAACTGCAAATAGTAACTTTCTCAATCACTTTTTAATGGATATACTTTGTTGGGTGATATGGTTAATAATTATCTTTAGATAATTAAAGAATTGACAAATTTTACTGCTAAACAGTTCCTGAATAGATGAAGAAACTTTCTTCTTCCAAGTTAACAACTCTGTATAAAGAAATTGGAATAAAGTTATTTCAGGATTGGGCCTTCAGAAGCTGTGTATCATCAGATTCTTATATCTAAAATATATCTTTAATCTGATTACAGATTAAAGATTACAGCAAGATCATGTATGTTAGGTGTATTAATTCTTAACTTACTATAACAATATCTAATATAGTTGACCCAATTTTAGAAGATATAAACTACTGTTTATGCAGTGTACACTTTAATAAATTATATGATCTAACTTGATGAGATAAAGACATGGTTTCCTGTTGCAGTCAAAAGTACAAATATATTGTGAAATCTCAAACACTAAGCATTTTATTATGGTTTAAGCAACAATGAAGTTAAAAGGAATTCATAAAGTTCTGATTTAATGATGTCCAAATAATTGCTGGTGATCAGCATCTCAGCATTGGTAACTGAATGACTTAGTACTGTGATCCAAATCTAAGACATAGGTAACAGAATTGAGTTTATCTCTACATTGCAAATTAGCCTTTTCTTGATCTTTGCTGATTAATGCTGATACTTTGAAATTGCCTTTCTTCAGCACATTAAAATTGATTTAAGAAGGGGTAAAATTAAGATAACTATTTCAAAGCTAGGCATGACTTTGGACATTCTGATAGTTCATGTTTCGGGAAGGTGTTTCTTGGATGAGCATACTGAATAACATTGCAGAATTAGTTATGTAATGACTCAGGAAAAAAACACACAGCGTTTTAAAATCCTTTTCCGCCTTCCCATTTGAAAATTTTTGGAAAGAATAAAAACTTCCAGTGAAATATTTTATTTTGGAGAAATGGATGCAGATAAGACAAGATAATCTAACTGTTCCTTTCTTCTCTGAAGTTTTTATTAGTTTGTAATAAGATATAATAGGTTGACATTTATGTAGTGTGTCAGAACACTAGACCACTACACCAGAGGACAAGTAGTTCTGTACTTTCTGACTCTAGATGTTAGAGCAACATGCATGGCTACTGCTGAACAGCATGGCCATTTGTACCAAAGGAGGAATAATTAATTCAGTATATTATTTGCTTATGTGTTTGTGTATTGTTGCTTATCTAATAGATCTGCTCCTGATTGATATCCGTTGTAGATATCTAACTAAATTATACTTTTACATTGTACGAATATGTCAAATCTGATAATTGTATGAATTAACCAAATTAGTTTTAATGGGGGTGAAGGATTGAACCAAGGCGAAGTGGCAGTGGTTTCTTGCAGATATGTGGTTCTTGCAGGTTCTACCTCTGGTTTCGATTGGGGTTGTACTAGGACTCTGTGAAGTCTGGAATTTTCCTGGATTCTCTTACCTGTTTGAAAGCAGGTGGCAGCTTGCAGACATGTGCACCAGTTGTATCCATTCTTGGATTTGGAGACTTTGTATGGACAGATATAACTTGGTTATCTTGTATGTATAATATTGAAATGTGCTGTACACGATGCTTCCTTGAGGATCACTCAAAATGTGTACTTGATCAAAAATTCAAATGTAGGAACAGTGATGAGCATACCTTACTATGCCCATGTTTCAGGCCTGTTCTGATAGCTGCAATGGTTACCAGTAAGCTTCCAGGTGCAATTGAATGGTATGATTATTATCTTTAAAGTCTTAAAAGTCCTAGTTATCAGAGCTATCTATTTTCTGTAGGATCTGTCCTTCCTGTTTGATTAACAGAGAAGGCTTGTTTCAAAGATGTTATCTAACTTAAAGTAGGAAGCACTCCTCCTCTGGGAGTACACCTATCCTTTGGAACAGCATCTTCTGGTTATAACCCCACCATATTCCACTTTAAACAAGATTTAATAAACTGACTCTTCCTCCAAGCCTTGGGTTAGTGAAGGTTAAAGCCCTTTGAAGTTGAGGGATGGATGGAGCATTCTTCTTTATTTATTTCCTCTGCACAGCTCTCTTTCCCAATATGAGACCGTTCTTTTTAATTGAGAAGCTATCAAGAGTCATTCTGGAGTTGGGCAACCTAAAACATTGATGCGTAAACGAAGATACTACATAGAATGTTCATAAAAAATAAAAAATAAATGTAGAGCTATAGAGAGTAAGACAAATATTGGATACATTTGAAATTTCTCCCAAATTTTGATTAACTTGCAACCCCTTCTCTCAATTTACAGGTTTTTTTTTCACCATGGCTTCAAAATGTTAGAAATTTTCTATCTCAGTAATGAAAGTTTCATAATTTATGATATATGGACTACAGAAATAATACATTTGGGGTTTAAAATAAGACATTCAGGATTATTGTGCATTGAATATAATTTCTTTAGTTGTAATCTCTTTATAACTATGTCATCCACTTGAGAGATTTTGCTGATTAGATAATTTGATCTGAGTTTTTGAGAAGAAAACATAAACCTTGACTAAGCATTTAGAGTAGTAGTTCCTAAATGTAGAACTACAGAATTTCAACTGCAAAAGGGGAATGGGAAATGAGATAGATAGATAGATAGATAGATAGATAGATAGATAGATAGATAGATAGATAGGCAGGCAGGCAGGCAGGCAGGCAGGCAGGCAGGCAGGCAGGCAGACAGACAGACAGACAGACAGATTACATGGATAGATTAGATGGATGAATAGATAGATGGATAGAATTAAATAAGAAATTATAGCATTTATAATTAAACTTACACCTCTTTTGAGCTTCTGGGTAAGCTTCAGAAACTATAAATTACATATGTAATGCAATGTAAACTGTCTTATCTAATGAGACTCTTAAACCAACAATCTTTTTCAGTCTCAGATGGAAAAAAGTCATTCCTGCTTTAATGAAAAGCTGATTCAAGTTTTGAAGCAACTTCCAGATTTTTTTTGAAGCACGTATATCCCTTTTCATTGTTCTAAGTAATTTTCTTCCTCATGGAGCTGATAGAGCAGTTCAAGTATTAGATTTTCATTTGGCTTTATTTGTATTTAATTCCAAAGCTGTGAGTAATTTAAGTTCAATAACTGTTCAGATTTGTTTGACTACTTCATGTAACTCTAGTACCAAAAATAATGCTAAACTGGAACTGAATCAATATGGCTCTTAATTATAAAGTGATTAAAATAATACATTTGGGACAGACCATAATTTGTATACTCAAATGTATGCACAATAAATGGTGATTCAGATTGTAAAAAGATTTAGGAAAAAAGATTCCGGGAAGCAGCACTCCAAAATGTGTCTTCTGTGTGGTTTCTGCTGTGAGGTTCTGTGGGGTTTAAGTGCATACGTTTCATCTAGATTTCATACAAGATCATACAAGTAAAAATGCAGAATTTAATTAAGATTATGTCATGATACATTTTCTTTCATGTCTATTGGAAAAATATGAAGTTACCATTCTGACAAACACATACTTCAGAAAAGCCAATGTTTCTCTATCTCAGCAACATTAGATGTGTAGATTTCAATTCGCAGAATTCTGCGAGTTGACGTCTCCACATCTTAATGTT